TCAGCTAGGGCTGGAAGTTTGGTACCGGTATTTGGGATATACTGAATATCGTACCGAATTTATCACTATTTGGTATTACCGAATACCGACTTATTTTTTAGGGATTGGGATTGGGATTGTGATTCATTTTGGAGTGCTATTTGGTATTCGGGATTACGGGATTGAGATCAGGATATACCGAAATACCGAGAAATACCAAACTTTAAAAATTAATGAAATATAACACGCAACATTTTGTCATTCCTCACTCTTTCACAACTTAGAAGCCCTCATCCAACTCAATTTTGACTTTTCAGTTTAAGTAATTCTCGTTTCTCACCTAATCTCTAGTTCATTTCATAACAACAAAAAACAAAAACTAGTATTAGTCGTGTCTCAGCCTCCAATTCGTCAAATTAAAGATTAGCAATGACAAAATTTTGAGATGTCACCTCTTATCCATTCTCCTTATCCACGGGACGGGATACCCCTCCCGTTTTAAACGGGTACCCAGTCCCATTTGGAGACCAAAGTCTATCCCATATCCTAAACCCATATGGGAAATGGGTACCTATTTCCTGTACGGGACGGATAACGGGTACCCATACTACCCATAAATACCCAAAGTTTAAACCACTAAAATTTTAACAAAAGTTTAAACTTAACTTGTATTTGTTTAACAATCACAAGACACAAAATACATCCCAATCACAAATACTCGGTTTGCAAATAACACATTCATGAACAATCACAACACATAGAAATAAATCATTTCAAGCACCAAATTATCAAATAAGAAGTTTCATTCAACACAACCAAATGAGGGTTAATTCCATGAATATTGTTTTTTTTTAATTTACCACGAATATAGTGGTTTTAAAACTATTTACAGGAATATTGTGTTTTTTTATATGTTGAAAGCGCCGAAGCTCCAGTCCGGGGCGCCGCCGCTAGGTGCTTTTTTTAAAAAAAAACTTGGCGGCGGCGCCCCGGACTGGGGCTTTGGCGCTTTTGAGAAAGAAAAAGCGTCGGCGCCCCAGACTGGGGCTTCGTCGCTGCCATTTTTTTCCACTCCAGCACCACCCATTCATATATATACTGCACCTTTCCTTCGGTTCTTCATCACCAAAAAACTGAAAGAAGTTCTGAGAGAAGCTCTGGTGTTGCTGTCTGGTTGCTGGGAAGATGGCTAATAACAGGTAAGAGTCGTAATTTTTTTTTCATGTATTCATCATAATGATTTTGTCCAGTTAGTAATTAGAGTTTGTTTTTAATGTAGTGGTTTTAGGAGATTTGAACTAGCTGTTCGGTGGCGATCAGAGAAAGTAGAAGACAATTTGGGTGTCCATTTTGTTGGTGGTTTAAGTTTCCAGATGACTATTCCATCCAGGGTGAACTATCAGAAACTTTGTGATCATCTAATTCGGAGAATACGGATTAGAGACGAAACAGTACAAGATAGTGTTGTGATTACAGGTTTCACCTACTATCTTCCAGAATGGCAGAATGGTGTTTTATTTCATTATGCAATGCCTATTGTCGATGATGATAGCTTAAATGTGCTTTGGAATTTTATGGCACAAAATCCTTATTGTTTGGGTGCTGAGATACATGCTGAGCTCAGTGAGGATCGGGATGGAGAGGAAGACAATGATGACGGTGATGATACATGGAGCGTGCCATCCGATCCTGCCTTTGATGACGGTGATGACGAAGAGGAGGAAGATGAGGAGGAGGAGGACGACGACGACGACGGGGAGGGAGGAGAACTACCTAATTATCCTCCATATTTTTACTTGCAGGGTAATGAAGAGGACGAGAAATTATCATATGCTGATTCATATGGCGTAATTCCAGGGTCTACTGTTGGCGTAATTCCGTCGATCGCTAAACCGGTGAGTGTCGCAACGTCCTCTAGGGTGATCGTCACCTCACCGAACGGTATGTGAAATGTCGATGTCTCGGGTCTCCAACGCTCTACGAGCGCAGTAATCAAACCCGGATCACCGGTAAGAGGGGCTAGTGGCAGAACACTAGACAAGCCGGCATCGACGAGATACGGCAGGTACAGTGGATTGTATCGAACTAAATTGCCCGTATGACGAATGTGGTATGGTCGATCACCAGCCTATAATTAATTAATGCTCAAAACTATATTAATTCAATTCCTTCAATTCAATTCACCTAATATTATATTTATATATCTAAACTAAACTTATTCTAATATAATATTCTTAATTTAATCTAATAATATTCTTAATTTAATCTAATTATATTCTTAATTTAATTTAATTCTATTCGTCTAATTTAATTTAATTCTATTCTATTCTATTCTATTTCTATTATACAGCTAATAAAAAAAACTATAGAAATAATTTAATTTAAAAAACTTACCTCATTTGCCCAAACTGCGTCAATCCGATGGTGACCATGCCCTCAAAGAAGTTCCGGATCATTCGGAGCAGTATCGATTGTCGTAGGTGGTGGTCTCATCGAACAAGGATCGATAAGCCTAGGAACTGGAAAAAAAATATTAGAACACAAAAAAAAAATGTCGCCGGAAAAAAAGTCGCCGACCGGCAGGACTCACTCCGGTAACGTTCGCCGTCGTCACCGCCACCGCCTCCACCGCCGCCACGCCGGCCTCGCCGACCTCGGCCTCTTCCTCTGCCGCCGGGGGCCTGCTCGTCGTCCGACATAGCGGCGCCGCTATAGATGGAGCGCCTTCGCTTGTGCCGCGCGCCGCCCGCCTGGGACTGGGGCTCTGCCGCCTTTCTCTCGGCGTCGCCGCTCTGGTTCTCGGCGTCGCCGCTCGTTCTCGGCGCTGGGATGGAGAGGGAGGAGTGGAGAGGGGAGGGATGGGATGGGTCTGGTCTGGTGTGGTGCGAGAGGGAGGGGG